ATATATATATATATGAAAGTATTGAATTGTTATTGTGTTTTGATAGTTAACAGCTAATCATAAAGGTCATTTTGAATTTCGTTTATGTAATGTGGATAGTAATCCAAATTCAGATGCAACACAAGAATGTCTTGATCGTCGAGTATTAAAAATTGCTGGAACAGATTCAACTAGAATTCGTGATGTTGATAAATATGGTACAGCAACAATTACTGTTCGTGTTCAACTTCCATCAGACGTTGCTTGTCGACATTGTGTTTTTCAATGGAAATATACAGCAGGAAATAATTGGGGTACAGATCCTATAACTGGTCAATCAGGTCTTGGAATGGGTATTGAAAATGAAACATTTATGGGTTGTTCAGATATTTCGATTAATGGTAATGGTTCACCTATTGAAACAATACCTCCTATTATTGTTACACCTGGGTAAATCAAAAGTCATATTTTTTTATGTTTAGGAAGCAAAAAAAACATTTTTTATTTTAGTACTCCAGCAACAACAACAACAAAAACAAGTTCTCGCCCACCAAGTGGTTCAACTACTTGGTCATCTAATGGTGTTCAATATAAAACTAATGATATAGTATTATATGAAGGCAAGAAATTTCAATGTATCGCCGATCATACATCATTTCCTGGAGCTGAACCAGGCATCCTTACTTGGGCTTGGTGGAAACCTATAAACTAAATATATTTTCTTCGATCATTATAGATCAATCTTGTTTTTGAAAAAAATTACGCATACTGAGAAATGTTATTTGGACATGAAAAAATTTATTCTAATAAATACAAGAATAAAAGTAAAGAAGTGTTGTGTGAATTGAAATGTTCACGAGCTGCCTATATTCGATGTTTGGATTATATTGACGAAGGAGATTATCTTCGATTTGGTTTGCCTTAAGGTTTAGTTTTAAAGAAATGAAAATCATTGTTGTTGTAGTTCTTTGCTTGAAATATCAAATTATGACTTAGTATGATGACTTTTCTTGTAAAATACAGAGAAGTTAATGACCTTACAATCACTTTAATATTCAATAGAAATTTTTAATTGTTTGAAATAATTTCTAATTATTTATTTATTTTTTTAATCGAAAACCAAACTTCATTATTTTGCCATTGATGTCTACTATACCAATTTCATCCGAATATGGAAACTATATATCCAAATGCTAACAAGAAAACGGTTTCAACTAATTAATCCCTTTTTCACGAGAAACTACGAAATTGTAGGTTGTCGATCATAGTAATTTTGAATATGAATATAAGAAATTCACAACAACCTTCATATATGCTGAATTTATAAAATACTAACTTTCCAGATTAACAAAAATGGTATCGAAATCGTTTTGAAACTGCTGAAATTATAGAGTAAATCAAGTTTTCTAGAAAGTAATAGTTTTTTCATAAACTTCAAGAAAAAATAATATCATTCAGAAAGTTTATAAATTGCAATATTGATGTACATCTGTGGTACGAATTGAAATGGTTGCATATTCTTCAAAAAAAAAACCTAGGAACTTCAAACAAGAAAAGTTACTGTTTTCTAATCAATTCGACATGCTCTATAATCTACGCGGGCCTGAAAAAAAAATTTTCTGGCGAAAAGTTCATTAGTCTGGAAAATCGATTTCCTAGAAAACTAACATATGAAGACGTTAGAGGATTTCTCATGCTCTTAATCTGAATCGCCATGATCGATAACTTATCATCCAGTAGCTTTCATTAAAAAACAGATTGATTCTCTAAAACGGTTTCATTGTGAAAAGCTTTTCAAGTCATAAAATAATGTATTCGAATTTGAAATCTACTGATATTTCTCTTCAAATAACAGCCGATGAAAACTGTTAAAGGTGATTATAAGTTTTTTTTTAATGATTTTTGGGTACAGAAAGTTTTTCTCTATCGAACGCTGCATGCATTATTCGACGGTGGAAATCTTTCTCTCGAAACCTATATATGTCCCGCTCTGTAATCAAAATCTAATGATCGCCTCCATAAGTGATGTATTTATTCTTTTTATGCTTTACAAGAAACATGATCTTGTATATCTACAATTGTCTAAAATTTTTAAATAAATCATAAAACTGAAGTTGATCAATCTTGTCATTGCTAACAAATTAATTTCTAAATTTTCAAAACATTAAATTATTTGTAGAAGAGATTGTCTCATAGTTCAATAATGTTCTGGACAAATACTTAAAGAAGTTTTATTTTCATCTTATCTTTTATTTAAATTTCATTCTCAAACATGTATTTCATATTTTATAATTTAATCTTCAAGTTTAGTAAATAATGATTTCATAATATTGAACATTACGACAAGCATTTTTTTTTTCATTCAAGAATATGTTATTCGTCATCGATTGAAATTGATATATCTCACTTGATTTTGTAAGTGTACATCGTCATACAAAAATATTATGATATCAAATTTTAATTCTTAATAGGATTATTATACAAAACCGATAAATGATTTCGTTTTGAGTTCATAACATTTGATCTTTTTGTTCGATGATCATCAACATGTTAAATTTTTTCGTTTTATTCTCATTTTGTCTAATATCAATTAATGGTCATGGTTATTTATTTGAACCAGTTGCACGTAGTTCAGCTTGGCTTGTTGATTCATCATTTAAAAAATGTTGTACTTATTCTGGTCATATGGAAATGTTTTGTGGTGGTGTTGGACATCAGTGGAATGCAAATGGTTTCGTTACTTCTTTGTTTTGTTTTTGATTTTATTATGTCATTTTTAATCTTTTATTTAGGAGGTAAATGTGGTATCTGTGGTGAACCATATGATAGAGCAGTTAAATTATTTGAAAAAGGTGGAACTATGTATACAGGTAAAATTGTCCAGACATATATTCAAGGAGAACAAATCGATGTCAAAGTCAAAGTAAATAAAAAAATAAAAAGAATTTTTGTTAATTTTATTTTTCTTGTAGTTATCAGCAAATCATCAAGGTTATTTTGAATTTCGTTTATGTAATGTGGATAGTAATCCAAATTCAGATGCAACACAAGAATGTCTTGATCGTCGACTATTAAAAATTGCTGGAACAGATTCAACAAAATATCGTGATATTACTAAACATGGTTCTGAAATGATTACTGTTCGTGTTCAACTTCCATCAGATGTTGTTTGTCAACATTGTGTTTTTCAATGGAAATATACCACAGGAAATAATTGGGGTCGAGATCCTACTACTAATAAATCAGGTCCTGGTTTAGGAAGAGAAAATGAAACATTTATGGGTTGTTCTGATATAACTATTTTGACCACTAGTCCAACGACTACTCTTCCAACATTTATAATTAGTCCTACAACGTAAGTCAATTGTCTTATTTATTCTATTTTAATTATAATATTTCTATAGCACTATAACAACAACAACCGCATTAATATCACGATCGACAAAATATTGGTCAATATCATTACCAAAGCATTGGTCAGCATTACTAACATTTATTTCATCATTACCAACAACAACAACAACAACAACAACAACGACGACGACGATGACAACCAAGACTACTGCTAGTTTATCCGCATGGTCACCATTATTAGTTGCTTATCAAAGAGGTGATGATGTCATGTATAATGGTATGAAATATCGATGTGTTACTTCTCATCGATCATATGCAGGTGCTGAGCCAAGTCCTCTAACTTGGGCTTTATGGCGAAAAATTGAATAACTTTTTTACTTTTACTAATAAATAAATATGCATAATCAGTAGGAATTCTTTGTTTTTTTTTAATACAAGCACACTGTTTTTATTTATTAAGTAACAAGGAGATTAAACAGAACTCTATCTATGCAAAAAAAAGGATCTATATACATAAAAAAAGCAATCACCGAGCTGATTGGTTATATTATTTGAGTAATTGTTCTGCTGCAAGAGCATAACTTTTCACTCGTGAAAAAATTAATGCTGGATATGCATGTCGATCATTGACTACATCAAGTAGTGTCGAACGTTCTTCACCTGTTCGTCTATATAAAAATAATTTTATTCAAAAAAAAAAAAATATATATATATATAAATAATAAAATCTTACTTATTAGTAAATTTAATTTCATAATGTGTCCATACAAGTTGATGATATTTTTTCTTTCCAGCATCACACATTTCAAATTCCTAGAAAGAAAAAATTTTAAGAATTTATTTCATAGTTTGATAAAAAGAAAAAAAAGTTTTTTTTTTTACCATATTCATTGTTTGTTCAATATCAGATGTTTGTAAATCTTTACCACCACGTCGTTGAGTACTAGTCATAGTTGAAGTTCGTTGAGTAGTACGCTTTGCTACAATTAATACCTATGAAATGCAACGAAAATTAAAGTTATTAATGATAATATATTTTATGTGTTTACTCGATTATTTTGTAAACGATAATTTCCATAAATAAGTGAAGAATCACGAATTGAATATCGACTTTTTAAACGAGCAACTGTTGCACGAGGTTCATCAGCTATTATATACGAATATAAAAATTATAATTTTCTATTTTTTTTTTTTTTTTTTATTTATCTTACCACTCGTATATACCAAAACAATACCTATAAAAAAAGAACAGTTAATTGTAATATATTAAATTAAATATAAAAACAAACCATCAGGAAAAAATCGTATATATCGATAGTATTCAACAAGATGCCATGGCGAATAAAATGTATCTAAAGATTGTTCACCTTGACGAATATATGTTGCTCGACTAATATACACACCTAAAAAACAAATAATCATAACTCTTAATTTCTCAAAACTTCGTAAATTGAAACAGAAAAAAACCCTCCTCAAAAAGACATTGTAAGTAAAAAAAATATTTCGAATAAAAAAAGATAACGATTCGATCGAGATGTACAGGGTAAGGCTTTTTCGCATCCTGACTAAAAAAAAGTTTTCTAACCTTCAATCTATTCTATAAAATGTCTACTCCATAGATGAGATCGATCGGTAAATGTCGATCTACTGGCAACGAATCGGTTCATATACTGAAACTTTATCTTATCGTGCACTCTAAAGCTCGTCAGGTGCAATATTTTCGGAGCTGGACCCAGTTGAACCGTACTTTGATACTCTCAATAAAACTTTTTGATTACATATTTCTCAGATGACTAGAGCCTATCAGGTTCGGGTCCGAGACCAATCCGATAGACTCCCGCATACCATGAATCTAGAAAATTTGAACGATTCTTTGAAAATGTTCTGAACATTCATTTTTTTCTGGTTCAATGATCAATTTATTTCTCTAAAAACACTGTTTAGTTAAAAACTCGTGACATAAATAAGAGATGGAACCGATTAAGTGTATTGATGATCGGTCTCTGCTCTACCTTAATCTTACTCTACGAAGTTTTTATCTCACTCTCACTTAACCCTACTCCAGTTGAAAGATTTTCGAAGTAATCAATATTAAATGTATATCACTTTAGAGATATGCAAGGTAAGCTTTGTTGTCATATTCTGATTGAGAAAAAATTTCTAATCCTTACTCCGAATAACTTTAATCAAGATTCATATCACAAGAGAACCTGACTATCACTAGCAAATATATTTCTTTCAAAAGATTATCAAAATTTCTAAATGTATCGAAAAATTTAATTTCATAAACATTGTTTTTTTTTCCTACCATTAAAAACTACATGTGGTCTATTAATAAACATATGACGCCAATTAATA